CCATATTAATAACAGCCACGGAAAACTGCTGAATTTAGGTTTTATTCTCAGTAAAACCCTTGAGTTGTCACAACCAACAGAAATTTAAAACTGTGACAAATATTTTTACAATTCGCTTTCTTCATTTACCCAGAACAATGCTATGAAATGACTTGTGATGCAATAATATTCTAAAATACCTATAAGGAAAATCATATAGATAAGAAAAGGAAACCTCCTTGGAAAATTACACACCTATTTTGTCCAATAATTAAAAGACAAGACAAAATTACTCACCTATTTTATCTATCTCGTCTTCTATAACTTCTTCCAACATCTCCACTCTCCTGCAAATTGCTCAAAATGCTGCTCTACATACAATAACAGGTTACCACAATGCACCAGTCAAATAACATACTCACTCTGAATGTCAAATGCTTACAGTCCAACAACACACCTCTTTCCACTCAATTCTCACAGCTATGCCTCCATCAGCAACACCCTTGTCACCAAATAACAAGACCAAACCATCAACCTAGCAACGTTGGAGACACACAGCATAACAAATACATCAATGTCATTGAGACAGTACACCTGATCATTATTATGTCAGAGAGTTGGTGCAGCACAAAACTGTATTCTTTGATAATGGGCTCCATCACTTAATGTGATGATAGTTGTGAATCACAAAGGTTACATTTTAAATCTATAATGCCTGCAGCAATTTCTTTAATGCGGGAGGGATAAAAAAATCAGACAGCTTGTAATAGAGGCTCATAAGAGGGCCTTAATTTCAACATGTGCAACAAATGTCACCTGGCCCAAGTTACTTAGGCAAACATTTGTTTGCTTGATGGATGCATCAGCAATCTTTGATGAGCATAACATGGCAACATTTGAACTTGGCATATTTAATGAAATAGAAAGCGTTTTGAAATAGACTTGAAATTCCACAGCATAAACAAAGCCATGATTTTGAGAGAGTATTTTTGGTCCAGAACATTACTAATAATATTTTTCTGTGCAAATAGCAATATACACTGTTAATATGCATTGCTAAATTTAAGTGCTATATAAAAGGTGTTAAAATAACTGAGCTTTATTAAATCTTTATAAATACATTAGTTATTAGAACCTGATAAATTAATCATCAAGCAACACTAATTGGTCATTTTGGGATGGATATATTCACTTAATTAACCATAACATATTGATGTGTTAAATAGTGTTAAAATCCTACTTATTTATACTTGTATACATTCTTGAACATGCTGAGTCAGCATCAGAACTGAGTCAAGACTGCTGTTATTGCAATGTAGTATAGGAACAAAGCAAGATATACCAAGTCAGAGTTATCGATAATGGTTTTTGGTTGGTTTCTTTAAAATTTTAACAATCAATTATTTAACCTAGAACTTTGGATTTTAATTCAAAATTTGCTTTTCAGCTCAGCTGAAATTAAAGGTGGTGCCTCTGTTTTTCATTTGGGGGCATGAAACAGGTGATGTATATTGAGGTGACATAACATGATGTGATGAATTATTGCACAACAAAACAAATATATTAATTTACAAATTGCATTTAAAGGACTTGACAGAGGCATGGAAAGATTTATTATTTTTTACATTGCACAGCAGGCCATGGCTGTTGTCATTACCCATCCTGTTAGTGGCAACTAGGTAGTCAGATTTTCAGAGTACTAAGGCCATCTACTTTCATGGCCATCGTGGCTTGCATGAATTTAAACCAACATCTTATGTATGATAATGCTGTATCCATGATACTTGCTGATGTGCTTATAGTACTCAAAATTGAACTTTAGGAAGAGTCTAAAAAACTCTTCTTTGCCACTAAGGTTTCAAATTCCTGTATTTTGGTTTGATCAGAAACATTGCAGTTTGCAGATATGTCAATTCATGAAATAAAAGCTTTTGCAATTTAGTTCCACAGTGTGGAATTCTAGAAGGGTATTAAATTAACAAAAACACATTAAAAAGGCCACCACACAACCAACCACAGTCTGGAGAGGATGACATCACAATGTCACAACCAATCACAGTCTGGATAGGATGTCATTGCAATCCTAACAACTAATAACAGCCTGGAGAGAATGCAATCTCAACCAACCACACATGGATATAGACATGTATCCACCTTAAAATGACAGAAACTTTACACACTATCCTACAATTCCAGCCTCCAGAACCATATTCCCACCAAAATATCTTGCACAGTGACTGCACCCAAAATGGTTTGCTGATGATTGCATTGTTGCAGTCATATCAGAAAGCAGTGTAAATAAGTCGTTTCAATATGAACATAAATAAACTTGCTTCACTGCCTATGAAATAAAGAAAAACGTTTTGTTAACATTTCTAGAGTAAAATTAAAGATTTGGCATAAAATGTATGCATTGCTTAAAAATTTTTTTTTGCTCAAAATGCTTTTTACCACCTGAAAAAGGCATATAGGACTTGAAATTCCATGAATTCACAGCTCCAAAAATCCAGTTATGGCTTAGTGCACCAATCTGGAATATTAGGTAGATTCTCAAAAAATTTATTTTTTTTATTCAAGGTTCTCTGCATCTTTCAAGTTTAAGTATAACCTTGTAATATTAAACATAGATTAGTCAGTAATTGTCATTAGTAATTTGACATCAAATCAAAAAGTGCATGTATAGGTACTCAAAAAATTTGCAATTCGGGAACTGAGGGTTTGCAAAACCCCTTTAAAATTTTATGCCAGAGAAGGCAATGCAGCCCACAGATTTCAGACTGGAAACTGTGAAGTGTAAAATCAGATAACATTCAATTACAGGATCATAGCATCACTAAGTAGCCAGGTGAATCTTCATCATTCATGTTGGAGATTTAGACATAGAGAATAATGTATAGTTATGTCAGAAATATTATCATCAGTATCTTATAGAAAAGAAGTTGCAAATATTAAGCCTTATTAAAGAGAGCACAATAGAGCTACTGGTAACTGACTCAACCAATCTGGTCCCTCAGTAGGAACAAAATTCACCATACAGGTAATTATGAGCACACATAAAAATACATGTCATAACTGTAAACAACATAAATATGTTCCTATACACAATAATTTGATTTTCCTACACACCACTATGTTAAAATTTTGCCCTTAAACAAACTGTAATTTCCTCATTCAAAACAAACTAGAATTTAGCTGGGAGCTCAATATTTAATGCTGCTTGATACAATTATAGTTCATCTTCAAACATATTCAAGTTTGGCAATTAGCAAAGAGATTCTAGATATTTGACATAGCAGGATTTGGAATATCTGGATTCTCAAATTTTGGGGCATATCTATCCCAGGCAACGTCAGGTTAAGTTCATAAGTACACCGGGTTAAGCTGCTGCTAACTACACCAGGTTAAGCTGCTACATACGTCTGGTTAAGCCGCCATATACGCCGCATTCAGCTGCTACATTCGCCTGGTCAAGCTGCTACATACACCGGGTAAAGCTGATACATATGCCAGGTTAAGCTGCTATGAACGCTGGGGTTAAGCTGCTACGTATGCAAAATTAAGCTGGTACAGAAGCAGATTTGAGTAAACAAATACAATATAAAATACGATGACCCTGCTTTAGCAGAGCGCTTTGACAACAGGAGGCATCCAGATGGTGACAAATATGTTGATCGTGCGCATTTAACCAACTGCTTGGTTAAACGGGTTGCACACAACCTCAAGGTTAAACAGGTTTGACAACACTCTCGTGTTTAAACAGGTTGACAACCTCGTGATTAAATGGGTTGGACACTACCTCGTGGTTTATAACGATAGTGATGCTCAGTTTGAAGGGGTAGAATCCTATAGAATAATATAATAGAAGCCAACATAGGTATGGAGTATGTTTTGTCTCAACTGCAAAATTAAGATTTAAATAAATCAGTGCTAAAGCAGCAAAATGCAGCATAAACTGAACCTAATTTATGAATAAGTCTTTTCTGGAAAAGGGCAACTGTTCAAAAAAGAACTTCTTTAAACTTGCAACATCTTTCCATTGGGGCTAGTATAGCATTAACTATTCTAATTCAGCAAAATCTTCAGCAAGAACATGGAACATATGTTATATGACTGGCATTGTTAATATATTGTAAAACAATTCAACTGTGTATTCTGCTGTCAAAAAACCTTCAGTAAAGTTAGTGTTGTTGTTTCTTGCGCCGACGTCACGCTCGCGTGGGTGGAGGCTCTTATGGTGGTAGGAGGGGTGGCACCGGAAGAGGGGGAAGATGGACGAAAGCAGGGAGGGTGGCCAGGAACGCCGCCGCCTCCACGGGGCTGTCCCACAATGATGAGACGCTGAGGGACGTGTGGAAGGAGAGGCAGACGAAGAGGTGCTGGACGGATTGGAGGGGATCCCCGCACTCCGGGCAAGCGGCGCTAAGGGAGCATCCGACCCTGTGGGTGTAGGACGCAAGGGAGATGCAGTATCCCAATCGGAGCTGGGATAGCGTTGAGCGGTAAGGGCGAGGGAGCGAGGCCTCTTCTGATGCAATCGGTGGTGGTGGGGTTGTAAGGACAGCGTTGCTAACGGCAGTCGCCGCAACACGGGAGGCCATCTCCCTGCGGAGGGAGCGTTTTGCCTCTCCATAGGCACTGACGGGCATGATGTTGTCTGCCAGGAGAGGCGCCACAAGGTGGCTGAATTTTGTCTTGATTGAAGCCTTCATGGGGCGGTCTCCGGAGGGAGCAGAGACGATGTTGAAAGAAGTATGGGTAGGCTGGAGGGCGCTGGCGAGAAATTGAGCACAGGCCAGATCCAGGTATGCGAACAGGGGGAAAACGCCGGTCTCATGGTGGAGATGGGCGATTGGGGCCATCTTGAGGCAGCCTGTGGCTAATCGTATGGCTGAGTTTTACATGGTTTGGAGACTTGCAACTGCAGTGCGTGAGGCGACTGGGTACCAGATGGGAGCAGCATAATTGAGGATTGGGCGAGTAATTGTCCCGTAAGTGGCAATGATGTCTTCCTTGGAGAAGCCCTAGTTGGTGCCGGCCAGGGCTTTTGAGATGCGTAAGGAGCTTGTTGCTCTGGTGGCAATGGCTCTAACATGAGGAGAGAACGTAAAAAGGTTATCCCAGGTGACACCTAGGATTTTGGGGGTTTTATCCAATGGGATGATGCCATTGCAGATTGTTGCAGAGGGGTGTAGACGGGATTGGTGAGTGTCAGGGGTGAAGAGCGTGACTGAGGATTTCCCAGGAGCCACGGCCAGTTTCTTGGTGGTCGACCAGTCTGAGACGCCCTGGAGAAGCTCAGAGAGGTCAGCCTCCGCGACGTCGAGCCTCGGGGATCACACAAAAATAGTAAGGTCGTCTGCATATGAGGCGATGTTGGGGGCCGGAACAGGTTTGTCCGAGATGAAGTAGTTGAATAAGGCTGGTAAGATGACCGACCCTTGGGGGGACTCCAGAATGGATCGTTCTGAAGGGGGACTGTGTTCTAAGATAGAGGCAGGATGCCATCCTGCCTCTAAGGTAACAGCACAGCCCGCGGACCTGATTGTGATGTAGGTCTGAGGCCGCGATCATGCTAAGGAGGAGAGGATGGTCGACATTATCGAAAGCTTTTGATAGGTCGACCGCAGCTGCCACTGTACGTGCTGGGGGATGATGTGAATTGAAACCCGTCGTAATCCGGTGCGCGAGCGGGAGGAGGGCGGTGACTGTCGAGTGTCCCGGTTTAAAGCCATGTTGCGAAGAGACCGTGACGAGAGAATCTGAGATGTATGGGAGTAGTAGGCGTTCCAGGATCTTGACCGCTGGACAGATGAGGGAGATGGGGCGGTATGAGGAGCCCTGGTTACCAGGTTTACCTGGTTTTAGTATCTGTATAATTATTGAGTTTTTCATATAGATGGAATGGAGGCCGTGGAGACAGAGATTTTAAAGATGAGGGTGGGTGAGAAACTGGAGGCCACGTGGGCCAAGGTGTTTGAGGTGAAGAACCGTGAGGCCATCCGGACCCCGAGCGAAAGAATTGTTGGCGGCTCAGATGGCGAGTTTCACTAAGTTGGAGGTGAAAGGGGGCGAAGTCCCTGTTCAGAAGGCGCTCAGCCCAAATTCGATGCATAAGGCGGCGGGTGAATGGGTTCAGGGAGTGCAGAGCGATGGAGGTGAATAGTTTGAAGAAGGCGGTGGAGATCTTGAGCTGCGACGAGAGGGGGCCTGACCAAATTGGATTGGCTGATTGGGTGGAGGGCGGCTAAGCTTTCTGGATAGTGAGCAGAGGAGGTTCGTGTTTTGACTGGTGAATTCGACTGTTGCACGAAGCAAGATGTGTCCGCCAGGTGTTCCTGGCATGAGCCTGTATTGAAGTGGTGATTTCTAGGTTGAGTTCGGGGAGCCGGGGGTCGTTAGGGTTGTGCGCTCTGATTTCATCCCATTGCTCTATAAGCAACCGGGTGCCAGGGTTGACTGCGGGGAATACTCCTTTCGAAAGCCTGCAGGGATATGCTGCTTGGCAGCAGCTGCCAGGACGCTCCTGAGGGTCGACTCACCTCCGCACGAGGTGGGGGCAGGGACTGCCTCGAGCGCTGCCTCAACTGCTGCCGTGAAGGAAGGCCAGTCCACTTTCCTAAAGTTAGTATAAGAGCGGTTAGACCAGGGAGCTGGGGACTCCATGGCGGGAGGTAAATGAAGCAGGATAGGTAAATGGTCAGAATTCAGGGCGACTTGAGGAGCCCATGAGGTGCTGAGTAGTAGCCGCCCGGTGATGATGGCAAAATCAGGTGAGGAGGGTGGACCGTGGAAGGGGAGGCAGGTCGGCGAATCCTCGTTGAGGAAAGCTAAGGGGGAGCCAGAGATGAAAGTTAGTAACTAGTGAACCACAGGAACATGCTTGCCACTCTCACAACACAGACGGCTTCCAGCTTCTTGAGGGGGCTTAAAGGAGAATGTTGCAGATATTTCAATGAATAATTTTCAATATCCAACAAGCGAGTGCCTTTGTCTGTCACCTTCACATACACACCATCATAAGCGACTGCCATCTTGGAGGGATTTTGAACAGCTGAGCCCCTCTCCCTTGTTACCAGTGGGTGCCGTGGGAAAGGTGCTCTATGCAGTTTTGTCCTGCAGTCCCAAATGATCAGATGTTCTGCACTTGAACCCTGTGTCAAGCTCCCTTCATCCACACTCATCTTCACTCTTGGGTCACTGAAGCGGTTTCTGATGGTGCCAGGAAAGCAGCTGCTGTTCAAACATGCGATTTGAAAATATGTTCATCAAATTTGGAGTATCAAAGAAGCTTCTTCTGTAGAATGCTTGCAAAGAAAATGTTTTTTCAAGTCCCATTTTGTAGTGGAAGCATAATCACACTTGGAGCACTGAAAAGGTTTTTCCGTAGAATGTTTGTAAAGAAAATGTCTTTTCAAGTCTCCTCTTGCGGTGCAAGCATAATCACATTCAGAGCACTGAATAGGTTTTTCTGTCGAATGTTTGTGAAGAAAATGTGTTTTCAAGGCTGCTTTTGTGGTACAGGCATAATTACAAGCAGAGCACTGAAAAGGTTTTTCTGTTGAATGCTTGCGAAGAAAATGTATTTTCAAGTCCCCTTTTCTGGTGAAAGCATAATCACACTCAGAACACTGAAAAGGTTTTTCTGTTGAATGTTTGTAACGAAAATGGCTTTTGAAGGCTTCTTTTGTGGTGCAAGCATAATCACACTCAGAGCACTGAATGGATTTCTCTGTGGAATGCTTGCAAATAAAATGTCTTTTCAAGGCTCGTTTTGTGGTGTAAACATAATTACACTTAGAGCACTGAAAAGGGTTTTCTATTGAATGTTTGGAAAGAAAATGTGTTTTCAAGTCCCATTTTGTGGTACAAGCATGATCACACTCAGAGCATGGAAAAGGTTTTTCGGTTGAATGTTTGTAAAGAAAATGACTTCTCAATGCCTTCTTTGTGGTGCAAGCATAATCACACTCAGAGCACTGAATGGGTTTTTCCGTTGCATGCTTGTAAAGAAAATGCCTTTTCAAGCTGTACTTTGTAGTGCAAGCATAATCACACTCAGAGCACCGAATGGGTTTCTCTGTTGAATGCTTGCGAAGAAAATGTCTTCTCATGTCCCTTTTTGTGGTGCAAGAATACTGACACTCACTGCAAGAAAACTTCTTCACGGATGAAAGCTTAGAAAGGCAACGCTTGTGCAAGACTTTTTTGCAATCATTAACATATTTACTTCCACAGTATTTCTGTGCTATTATTTCAGGAAGATGGGAGAGAATATGTTGTTTGAGATCAGCTTCAGAGGCACACAAATTAAAACAGAATTGGCATTGGTGTTCACTTTGGCACAAAATTTTGGAGTTAATACGCTCTTGCATTGATTTTCTTATGGTGCCTAATTGTTCATTGTCAGGGAACCTAAATGATTTTTCCATATGTTGCTTGGAGCTGAGCGACCCGGAGTCGTCAACGTCACCAGCAGCATCTCCTGATGCCGGTGCTGACCCACCTTTGCCAAACTAATGATAGAAAAGCAGAGTTAAACAATCTCTCAGAATAATAAGAGCCTAATTAAACAATTGACTTTCAAGTTTGATCCTCAGGAAAATGAAAATTGTGACAAAAGTTCGGGAATTTTTGCCTAGTCTGTTCTGGTTCATAAAAATGATTCCTCAGTATTATTACTTGGCCAGAGCAAACAAGTTAAACACAAATAAAATACAATGAAAATTTATACTTGTGTAAAGTTAGATACATTAATTTCATACTATTTGAGATACATAGATTTCAAACTTTGAAGCTGATTTTCAATAAGGCTATGGTTTCACCAACATATTGAGATTCTTTGACATCAGGTAATGTCCCATTTTTTTTATTCACCAAAACTTTAAAGTCTCAACAACCAAATCAACAGCCACCCTCACAACCTTACACATGGCTCAGTACCACTGCCACCCTCAAGTAAAGATTAATAGCCAACCCCTTCTGATTGAACACAACCCAAAAATCCATGGCCTAACCCTCGATTCCATGCTTACTTTCACCAACCAACACAAAACCACAACAGCAAAATCCACAAAAAGCAAAACACGGTTAAAGTCCTCTCAGGAACATCATATGGACAACACAAAGAAACCTTACAAGCCTACAAACCATCTGTTATCCAATAATTGATAATGCCTTTCAGAACTGGATCCCAATCACTCATTACTCCAACTTAACCTGACTACTAACGGTTCAAAATTCCCGACTTTGCCTACAATAACTGGTTGCCACATGTGAAAAACTATTATTATTATTAATATTATACGAAGCAGTTATCGTGGCGACTGGATCAAAGAAACTTCGAGGGCAAGTCACACATAAGATTAATAGACACATTATTAAAAACATATAAACAACGAATAGATGGGAATGGATAAAATGACTAACCACTAGATTCATAGGCTCTACGAAATAGGGCTAAGTACTTTAGGGCTAATAGGGCTAAGTATTTTAGGCGTCGACAAAACACCTGCAACAAAGGAGCCAAAGTTAAGGAAGCCGGCAGACTGTTTCAGGTCCTGTCAGCGGCGACCGGAAACGCTCTGTCGCCGCCGGTATATAGACGTATAGATGGTACGACGATATCCGCTGTTGATGACGAGCGCAATCGTCTTCTCGAAGGCAGATCCGACATGCGCTGCAGACATTACATGAGATAAGGAGACGCCAGACCGTGAAGGCATCAGAACGTCAGAACAGCGACCTTGAACTGTGTGCACTGCTGAATGAGCAGCCAGTGAAGATTGCGCAATATCGGCGTCACATGGTCAAATTTTAAACTATTGCGCACGAGTCGAGCAGCGGCGTTCATTACAAATTGCGGTTTAAAAAGTGCCGTGGTCGGAAGTCCATAAAATATGGCATTACTATAATCCAAACTGGTCAGAACGAGCGCCACCACGAGGGCCTCGAGGAGCGGCCTCGAAAGACAGCGGCTAATGCTATGTATTCGTCGCAGAGCGCCATAGAAAGCGGTGGTGATTTTGGTATAATGTGATTGTTCATAAAAAGTTCCGAGTCCAACAGAATGCCCAGGTTGCGAACTGCGGACGCAGGCATGAAAAACTCGTTGCCCATGCGAACAGGGTTTCCGGAAGTTGATGCCGGCGCCGAGCAGTCACAAACCAAATAAAACTGGTTTTTGCTGCATTGAGCTGGAGCCGGTTGGAGCACATCCATTATGAGAAGGCGTCCATGCAGACAGACATACCATCCAGCAAGGCTGCAGCATCAGACGGTGCACAGGAGCCATAAATTTGAGCGTTGGCGGCGAACATATGCGGATTGAAACTATGCGAATGGATTATATGCTATAAGTCAACAGTATATAACAGGAAGAGGATCTGGCCGAGAACTGATCCCTGTGCTACGCAGCAAGTGACCAAAGCATTGGAAGCTATTGCTGATATAGGACTCGAACCACAACAGCACTGTGCCGCGCAGGCCAAATGATGTCAAGTCGACGCAAAAAGTGGCGTGAACGACCGTGTCAAACGCTGCCAACAGGTCGATTAAAGCTAGTGCCGCAATTTCGCCAAGGTATCCTGCTAGTAGAATGTTTGAAAGAACCTTCAGCACAGCGGTTTTCGTCGAGTAGAGATTATGGTATGCAGACTGGAAGCGAGGCATGACATCGGACAGCTGAAGATGATTGTTCAGCTGTCGGGCTACAACATGTTCCAGGAATTTCAACAAAATCGACAGGTTGGAGATGGGTCGACATAATTTGGGATCGGAAGCGTCAAGAACTGTTTTTTTAATAGAGGCGTAATGTAAGCTGATTTGGAGTTCATCGGAACAACACCGTCCGTGAGGCAGCGGTTGAAAAGTTCGACCAGGAAAGGTGCTAGGGTTACAACATTTCCGCGTCGTCGGCAGCTGATCTTCGTGGCCTGGGACTGCTATGTCCCAAACAAATACTAAGGATACTAAGGATGTTGAGACAGCCGAACGATAACCGGCGACACGGCTGCACAGAGTGGCGATCAACACGAACGCTAAGCAGGTTTTGAGGACTACGGGTTAACATAAGCCGATAATCAGTAGCAGCATCCGCAGACGTTGAATTAGTCGCAAATGATTTCCGCCGTAGCAACGGCCTATTGCCAGTGATAACGAACGCGCACTGCTCGATAGGTAGCAGCAGGATGCCTACTTCGGCCAGCACGACGATAGACATGTGAGGCGTGGGGGACGTCGCGAAGAGTAAATCTACTTTCTCAGAGACGGATGGATCAAGGGCTGCAGCAGCGGACCGCAGGCCGAGCAGTCGCTTAGCCGCGAAAGCTAACGGCGCCATGGATAAGCTTAAGGGGAGCGTCTACCCTAGAAATCGAAATTTTCGGCTTTTCCGGTTTTAAGCTCATCTTAAAGCTTACTTTCTGCCGCATCGAACGGTAATAGAACCATCTCTGTACGTTGATTTATGCGTTCAGGACAGATCCCGAAATGGGGGAGGGTGGTGGGGTCCCTTCACAAAAGTCTATGGGGATATTTACTGGATTAATTACTGGACCTGCAGCTCAGTTATCACTCAGCCATCATGCGGAAAGGTGTTGATGTAGTCGTCCTATGCACCGCTGACTGACTTTGAAGTGAGATAACGCTTATTTCTAGTATCTAAGCTACGTTACATGCCTTTACATAGCGCGCCGCGGTTTTTCGTCTCTACTGAAAAGTTTGAAAACATGAAAAACTCTCTCATGGCAAACCTATCTCCACCTAGAGTTTTTAAGCTACAAGAATGAGACATATACCATTCAATGCGCAAGAAAAAGATCTACTAATCGCTGTAGGCGTTTTTTCTAATTTCGTTATAGTTTGGATTTTATTCTGTAAAAAGGGGGGTGAGGGGGGTAAAATCAAAAAAATTTCTGAATAATTTATGAAAAATGCCCCCACACCCACAAAAATGAGAATTTCCAAAAACGCCAACAGCGTTTTATAGATATGGTCTTTACGCATCGAATGATATGTGTCTCGATCTTGTACCTTGAAAATCCTAGGAGGAGATAGATTTAAACGGTACCCCTTTTCGCAATTTTCTAAGATTTTCACATTTTTTTTCATTTTTTTCAAAAAATCCACTTGAACAAAAAAGTCTTAGATTTCTGTTTTACATATGTGTACCAAGTTTCAGAGCGATCCGTCTGTAAATAGCCGAGATAATTTTTCCTTAGACGCTCCCCTTAAGCTGTCAGATTCAGCTTGGTTCATATAACAGTGACGTTCATTTACTGTCAGCTCAAAGCTGAATATAGCGAACGCCAAAACAATGTAACTCCCATGTCACAGTTGGTCATGCTTGATATTAGCGGTCTAATGGCAAGTAGTGGGAAATTTTCAGCCTACTATATTGCACAACAACACAAAAGCCAAACAATATCTTCACTCTGAACATTAAATGCTTACCATCCAACAACACACTAACCTCCTTTCCACCTAATACCTTCCTCAATGCCTCCATCCAAAACACCACTGCCACCAAATCACAAGACTAAACCACTAACCCTGCAACATGAGTGACACTCAGAACACCAAATATATCAATGTAATTCAACCAGCACTACCTATCAACACCACCAGCACTACACTTAGAAAAAAACAGTAACAGCCTCACACCAAAGCCATTGACTGCTATCAAGCACCAGAATTGCTCAACCGCTAGCCTCCTTCACTACCAAATACAGACAAATCTGAATTATCACTCCACGGATCAACAAAATGGGCTGTAGCACAATTTTTTCCTGGTCACTATTTCCATTAAACCATTACTAAAACAGAATCAACAATAACATAATTTAGAGACACCCAGCTGTGACCGCGCATTCGTTTCAGCCTAAGCTGGGCCACATATGCAAGTAAAAATTGAATTTCACTGCCCTAGCTCTCAATATTTGTTCACTGTTTTTGTTTCCTTATTGATGACAGTTTTCTGCAAATGAAGTTGGGCTTGCTCTGCTTTATGAATGGATATTATATTCACCCAAGCAGGTCATGGACAGCTTCAAGATAAAATAGCTACTGATGAGAACCCAAGTAACATCTTTGTCCCATGCTGTGTGATGATATTACCAATCCCATTCTTTCTTGAATGTGATCCTGGATACATGAGAAAAGGGTGGGGATGTTACATTGAATGCAACTGTTTCAAGGGCATTACCTCATCTTCCTACACTGCATGAACTAGATGACTTGTTCAAGGATTTAGTCTGTGCATATGGTAAATTAAGCGTATTGCTATCTATTTCTAAAGATAAAATAATTAGATTTCTTTCACGGGATTAAAATGTACAGGGTAAATGGCATGTATTTTCAGTATCATTACCAGTACTTGTAAAGTCGCCTATTTTATACTCAACTACCAACAATAAAATGAAGCAATGGTGATTTGGTAACTAGGGAAATTCTCTCAAAAATTTACTGCTTAGTGTTAATTAGAGAGAGGTGAAATTACCTATGCATACCTGATTTAACAACAGAGCAGAAATGTTCTGTGAGGAGTTTAGGTGGGTATTGAAAGCTTCAACTTTAGCCTCCATCTTGCACGGCACACAAAACGAGAGTGCAGGTGTAGGGCTGAGATGTACAGTTGAACAAGCCTGGGGGATGTGAAGGACAATGTTGATGCGACTGGCAGGTATGTGTGCATTTTGCAAGATATAGTACGTATGTGACTCTTGTGACTTTTTGGATAAACATGGAGGAAAATGGTGATGTGGCAGTAGTGATGTGTGCATGTTATGAGGAAGGACATAATATAGGAATCCTTATAGAATTCTCTGCAAGTTTCTAATTTCACACATCACATATCAGTGGTTGTAAAATGTCTTCTCATATCATACTTCATAAAGCAAATATTCTACTTGCTTTTTTCAAATTCAAATAGATACATAGACATATGGGTCAATTTTGGAATGAAAGGCGTGCTTTTAGTATGTTTTTGTTCAATATTTCTTTTTGAAATTATTTATTTGTATTGTATTGACATTGCATCACTAGAATTAAAAATGTGTTTCAGTTAACAAGAATGTTCCCTAGTACTACCTATTTTTTGCAATTCTCTGCTATATTCTTATTTATTCATTGGCAAACAAGGAAGTACAGCATTAGAACAAGTATATTAGGAAATTTTTTGCAGGATTCCTGTCAATTGGGGCCATCACATTACATTTTAATTTGACTACTGACACATATGGGGAAAAATGGTGGATGTGGATTTGGAATAGCAAACCTAATGCAAGCAATTATGAGTCAAATTTCCCACAAATTTTAACCAATTATTGAATGACAATGAAGGTGCTTTATACCTAATTATTACTGCTCAGTATTTCAGACATAATACTGGGTTAAGATTTGCCTCACGATGCCTTACTTGAAGATTTGATTATAAAATAGAATTATGCAATTTTCTATTAAAATCTATGCAAGAATTTTCAATGCGTTTATTTGCATATCAACTCCACCTACCTCATTTCCATATAAGAATGGTTCCTCTTTGATGGATACTTCATCAGTTTCATCCTCAGGTTCCTCTTTGATGTAGATAGCAGGAACTTCAATGACTGGTGAAGGGTCAACCTTTATAAAGGCTGGAAAATATATATATTGGTGTACTGGTGCCAATTGGTTAATGAGCAAGATATCTCATAGTGAATATAATGCTCACCAAATTTATGAGTCATGTGAGCCTTAGAAAAAAGTTAATATCAGTCAGATGAGTGAAACTCATGAGGCAACAAATGCACATACATAGTTATCAAATCTTGTATTGAAACTCCATAGATATAACTATAGAGGAAAATTTAATAAAATAAATTGAAATAACCTCAGTTCCTCCCTTACAGACTAACAGTTGATTTGTAAGGCATATGACATTTTCCTTACCTTCAGTCTTTACTTTGCTGCCACCAGGAGATGCTTGAGTGAGGCTCTGCTCAGGGCATCTGCCACTCCTGCCTGCAGCTTCAGAGAGTTGGTGCAGCTCAGCACTACATTCTTTGGTAATGGGTGCCATCACCAAATGTGATGCTAGTTATGAATGACTGAGGTTTAAGTTTTAATTTAGAATGTTAGCAGCAAAGGTTATAGCACTGGAGGAATACATGAAATCATAAAGTGCAATAGAGGTCAATAAGTAGCCTATAATTTTAAGATATACAAGAAAATTTAATTGTCGCAAGTTACTTAAGCACATAATTGATTGCTTTATTCATGCAGCAGCAATATTTGATGCAGACAACGCGGCTAGACTTGAATATGACATATTTAATAGCAATAGAAATCCTCTTGAAATAGACGTGAAATTCCACAGCATTGATGTCAAAGCCATGATTTTCAGAGAGCATTTTCAGTCCAGAACAGTGCTAACAATATTTTTGAATACACTTAGCAATGTAAAAATTGCTAAATTAAGGTGCTATGTTGAAGGTGTTGAAATGAATGATCTCTATTTGATTTTCATCATCACATTAGTAATTATAACCTAATCAACCAATCACTAAACAACATTTATTGGTCATTTTGGAATAGCTCTACTTGCTTACATACCTAATTGACCATAACACATTTATGTGTTCATTAGTGCTAAAAATCGTACTTACTTATACTTGTATACATTATCGAACATGCTAAGTCTTTGTCAGAACTGAGTCAAGACTGCTTTCATTGCAAAGTAGTATAGAAACAATGGAGGATATGCCAGCTCATAGTGATTAATAGTGATTTTTTATTTCTTCATGATTGCAACAATAAATTATTTGACCTTGAACTTTTGCTAAGAATTTCAAATTTTCTTTTTTGCTCAGCTAAAATTCAAAGTGGTGGCCTTTTCTATTTTTCTTGGTGGCACATAACAGATGGCATGTATTGAGGCAACATGAAATGGTGTGGTAAATTTGTGCACAATAAAACAATATTTTTTCTAAAATTTGGCATAAAGGTGATTTGACATAGGCATAAAGTAAGTAATTATTTTTTGCATTGCAGCACAGGCCATGGCTGTTGTTGTCATTGCCATCCTAAAATGGCAACTAGGCAAGGAAAGGGTGATAGCTCAGTTATACAGGGCACTAAGGCCACATCTAGTTTTAAGACCATCACTGACTTGCTCGCTCACCCAACTGAACCACTGTATTGCATTATGCTACACTTTGGACAAGTCATCACATGCTCAATTGCCTCTAAATGAATAAAAATGTTGTGCTATTTCTAGGATAAAATTAAATATTTTGCATAATATGCATGCAAGGCCAAACTTTGTTGACTAATCCGCTTTTTGCAACCTGAAAAATGCATTCATGGCTTGAAATTCTATGAATTTACGGCTTCAATAATCAACTTGCAGCTTGGCCAATCTGGATACTTGCTAAATTTCAAAACTTGGAGGCAACACAGTCATTTCACAGGTTATTTTTGAAAATAATAGGCAAAAATCTGTTGTTTTTCTGATTATACAATGAAAAAGATGTGAAGGTTCAGAATAACAGGTGAAATAGACCAAATTCCTTGGTGCTTTTGTCTCACTTACCTCACAGGTGGCTTCTGTCTGATTTTTCAGCTAGGCTCAGGTACAGAATTGGAATTTTCCCACCTATGAATTAAATCTCATAGTTCCAAAGTGATAAATTTTTTATACATTTGTAATCTTGCAATCTGATTGTGCATTTCTATTATTTATTAGATATAAAGTAATTCATCTATCAGGAACTTTGTGGCTAAGGAAAGGTAGGAAAGCTCAAGTTACAGCTCAAACAGTAAATATATTCTATGCCAATTTGATAGTAGATGTTTTCTGTAATAGCTAGGGCACAGACCTTGAATATCAGATTGATTTTGTCATAGAAGAATTTCTTAATGAGATGTTTGGTCATGTTCATCAAAATTAGTAATTTTATTGATTTTCAATAGAATTAAAAAATATAACTTATCATAGACCATCAAGAAATTTACTACAGCAGTTTCTGCTAATAACCTGAACAGGTTTCAGTACCATTTCATGTTTTTTTGATACAGTATAAGTAAGATGTCTTACAATAAGATGTTTAAGGGGGGGTCTAACCTAAAATTTTCGGATTTGGCATTTTCGGTTTTTAGTCTCATCTTAAAGCTAACATTCTGCCCTATCCAAGGGTACCACTGCCAACTCTGTACGTTGATTTATGATTTCAGAACATTTCGTGAAAGGGGGGCGGGTGGGAGAGTTCTTCAAGTAAGTAGATAGGAACTAATTAGCTGCTGAGCTCTTTGAATATAGTGTCTACCTGAGTTGTGCTGTAGTAAGGTGTTTAGTCTCATCTTAAAGCTGACATTCTGGCCTATTCAACGGTACCACTACCATCTCTGTATGTTGATTTTTACGTACATGACACTTCATGAAAGGGGGGCAGGGGGTGAGTTCTTTCAGTAATTACATAGGAACTAATTCGCTGCCGCAGCACTACAACTGCAGTGTTTTTGTGAGGTCCGACTCAGTGTGCCTCCGGGCTTTGTAGGGAGAGGTGCGCATGTAGATGCTCCCGCCATCCTTGAGTGGAATCAAGCTCCAGAAATGTTTAGTTTGGTATCTATGCTACATTGAGCGCATTTTGTGGTCTGCATGGAACTTTGTCACTCTCTCCTCAACATTCACACTTATTGTCACAAAAACCTATCTCCTCCTAGTTTTGAAGCTACAGTGATGAGACATATACCATTCAATTCGTAAAGACCATACCTATCAAGTAACGAAGCCCTTTTTTAGATTTGAGCACAGTTTGGATTCAAAATGGGGGGGAAGGGGGAAAATTTGAAGAAAATTAGAAAAAAATTGTGAAAATGTATATAAAAACACTAAGGCAAAAATAAAAAATTGGGCTTCATTACCTGATTGGTATGGTCTTTACAAATCGAATGGTATATGTCTCAATGTTGTAGCTTGAAAACCCTACCCTATCAAAATTTTTAGTTGGTGGCGAGCCTGAATTAGGAACTGCCTAGGACTCAGACTGAATGTAAATCAGCTTCTCTATGTCCGCTTTTTGGTCTACATTCCGGTCCCTGAATCAGACAGCTACCAGAGCCTGGTGAGGGGACTGAGGGGATTCTGCCAACTCTTGCCCTACTCTCAGGAGACCATAAAGTTGGCCAGGAGGTTCTGACTAGTAACTGATTGCGGTCAGTTAGCCAACTGACCCAGAATAACTTTGCACTGAGTGT